ACTGATTTCTACAAAACTTAGAACACATCATTCTAGACTCAATTCAATATGCTGTGCCAAATCTCGTGCAAATCGAAAGATATCTAGGTACTTTGGTGCACTCGTTACCTAAAATCGGACGAATATATATATATGGGAGCTATATCTAAATCTGAACCGATTTTCACGACGCTTGGCACAAATCACTACAGGTTCAATTCAGTACGCTATGCCAAATTTCGTGCTAATCGAATGATATATAGGGTCTTTGGTGCACCATTTACATTAAATCGGCCGAAAATATATATGGAAGCTATATCTAAATCTGAGCCGATACGCTATGCCAAATTTCGTGCAAATCGAATGATATATAGGGTCTTTGGTGCACCATTTACATTAAATCGGACGAAAATATATATGGAAGCTATATCTAAATCCGAGCCGATTTTCACGAAATTTTACACACATTATTCTAGAGCTAATTCATTACGCTGTGCCAAATCTCGTGTAAATCGAAAGATATATAGGGACTTTGGTGCCCCATTGACAGTGACATGTGCCAAATTTCATCCAATTTGGATCATAAGTACGACCTGTACTTTGTTTACAATTTAACATGGACAGACGGACGGACGGACATGCATAAATCTACTCTGAAAGTGATTCTATGCATATTCTCAAAAGGAACCATGTGTCCATCTCGTTTCCTTTTGCCTGTTACAAACATATGCACAAAGACATTATACCCTATACCACAGTGTGGTGAAGGGTATAAAAATATGATTAGGTTCGAAATGTTTATACGCAACAAAATTTCCTAAATCGATCAGTATGGGGCCTATGAAATTGCATTTTCTCCGCTAGTATATAGTTTATGCTCTGAAAATTTTTAATTGAATTAAATAGAGCATTGCATCAATACATTTACCCATATTAAAAAATTTTAGTAGGAAGATTTTCTACCCAATATATGGGAGCCACTATATGGGAGCTACTCCGAAACTTTCGTCAATGCTGATAATTTTTGATATGGAGATTTCTATCCAATGAAAATCCAAAATCCCCAAAATACCAAATTTTGAGAGGTACCATAACGGCTGTAACATGGATTTGATTTCACCCAAGACATGCCTTATCAGGTAATCTCCAATAGGTTTGCAGGTGAAAATATATTTCTCCTTCGAGTAGGGGAACATCAGAAAAAAAATCATTTCATCGTAGTGGATTCTTATTACATCCACCCAATGTAATTTATTAAATGATTATATATTTTCAAAATTAAATTCAAATCACTTTGTAAAATATACAGCTCAATAGTTGCACTGTGTAAATCTTCATTGTTGTTTTTTTATTCTAAATTTATTTCCTATATTTTTAAATATATAATTACTGGATATAAATATAGTAATAATAGTATTATTAACAAATAATTTGAAATAAGTTGTTTTTTATTTGGAAGTATTCATAATATTGTTTATATTTTTATAATTCTTATGTAGTTGTTATTTTTTTCTAATACTTTGTTTTGTTGTTTCAAGTCTTTTAAAGTACTCACTTAGTTTAGTGTTGTGTAGTTTTTTGTTTTATTTGTTTTTGTTTGTTTCTAAAATAAATGCAACAAATTGAAATCAGTCAATGTTTTGCAAAAACAAAAGTTTTGTTTTTATTTATATAAAACTTAAAATTTGTGTGTGTGTATGTTCTAATGTACAACATTTAATTTTGTGTAGTTTTTATATTCAAAGAGAAAATTTATAATAATGTCGAATTTTAATGGACGAAAGTATTCGATTCAAAATGGTCGTACCGAACCTCTGCACGATGTCAAACACGACAGATAATATGTAGAATATCAGATTATCCTTAGCTACTGAGGAAGACTTTTTCCAATAGGAAAAATTCCTCAGCTACTGAGGAAGACAATTTCCTATGAGAAAAAATCCTGAACTATTAAGGAAGACCTTTCCTATAAGAAAATATTCTGGGCTATTAAGGAAGACTGTTTCCTATAGAAAAAAATACCTCAGCTACTGAGAAAAAAATTCCTCAGATACTGAGAAACTATTAGGGGGAGACTTTTTTTCTAAAAAAATATCTCCGCTACTGAGAAAAACTTTTTCATACAAATCTACACTAATTATCCCTAAAAAAATTCAAGTGAAAATCTCAAGAACTCTTGAAGATATAGCCGATTTATTGTGTCAGCATCAAGTGACGGCTGAAGGGCTTCTCAAACTTTAAACGAGTTTTTCTACAAACATTGTTTTGCGAATGGCGGGCACGATAACTCAAAAATTATTAATCCAATCGATTCTAAATTTTGGGACGTTTCTCTGTGAGTATATAGCTATCGTATGAACTAGGATAAAGCCAATCGGTGAAGATCTTCCTTATTTTCTAATTTGGTTTGTGGTCAAAAATCGGCGATTTTCCACAACTATTTTTTCAAATGTCCGCCATTTTGTAAATTTTTGAGCGAAGTCAATAATCCTAGTTCATACGAGAGCCAGACATGTACTCTTTCTAACACCGTTGGAATTTTCGGATTTCAATGTTCCAGTGAGGAGTTATCATGCCCGCCATCAAAAATAAGGAATTTTCTTTAATTGCAAAAAACAACAACAAAACAATAACAAAATTTGTTTGTAAATTATTTTTCTTGTCTTTTAAATCTTCAAATATATATGTCCAAAATTACAAACCTTTACAAGCATTGGTATTGATTTACCAGCCCATTGAAAATCTTAAAAAAATTAAACCAAAAAAAGGGGGGGGGGGTTCCCTTAAGGAAGACTTTTTCCTAAAAAATATCTTCGCTACTGAGAATGACTTTTTCATTCAAGCAAAAAACCTTCAGCATTTAAGGAAGACATTTTCCTATAGAAAAACATGTCTCAGCTACCGAGAAAGACCTTCCAATTCCTCAAATACTGAGGAAGACTTTTTGCTATGCTACCTATGCTAAGGAAGACTTTTTCTTGTAGGAAAAATATACTCAGCCTCTGAGGAAGATTTTTTCCTATAGGAAAAAATTCCTTAACTACATTGGAAGACTTTTATTGTAGAAGAAATCTTTCTCGGTAGTTGAGGAAGACTTTTAACTATAGGAAGATTAAGGAAGAATTCTTTCTACGGGAAAAATACTTAGCCATTGAGGAATACTTTTTCTATAGGAAAACAATTCCTTCGCTAAAGAGGAATAATTTTTCCTATAAGAAAACAATTCCTCAGTTACAGAGTAAGAATTTTTCCTATAGGAAAATATACCTCAGCTACTGATTTTTTTCCTAATTAGAAACACTTTCTCCTATAAGAAAATCGTTATCGGTAGCTGAGGAAAGTTTCTTATAAGAAAACAAGTCTTCCTCAGTGGATGAGAAATATTTTCCAGTAGGAAAAAGTAATCCTTATAAGATATAGCCTTCCTCCTCTACTACGGAAAGCTTTTTTGAGAATAGTTTTACTTTTCATTAAAGAAAAAGTTTTCCCAATGTGAATCTGAAATTCTGTCAATATTCATTGCAAATTCTATGAATTTTTCATTATTTCTCTTTGAATTGTTAATTAGAGTGTTCCCAACACCAGCGCCCATTTATTGGGATTTTCTTTAAGGGGACCCCCCCCATTCTCGGGGTCAAAAAATTTTTTGATTTAATTCGAATCTACACTAACTCAAGAATGTCCGTACAAAATTTCAAGTGAAAATCTCAAGAACTCTTGAAGATATAGCCGATTTATTGTGTCAGCATCAAGTGACGGCTAAAGGGCTTCTCAAACTTTAAACGCGTTTTTCTCTTTTGCTAATGGCGGGCACGATAACTCAAAAACTAATAACCCAATCGATTCCAAATTTTTACACGTTTCTCTGTTAGTGTATAGCTATCGTATGAACTAGGATAAAGCAAATCGGTGAAGATCTTCCTTATTTTTTAACTTGGTTTTTGGTAAAAAATCGGCGATTTTCCAAAAATATTTTTTCAAAGGTCCGCCATTTTGTTAATTTTAGAACGAAGTCAATAATCCTAGTTCATACGAGAGCCAGACATGTACTCTTTCTAACACCGTTGGAATTTTCGGATTTCGATTTTCCAGTGAGGAGTTATCATGCCCGCCATCAAAAATAAGGACTTTTCTTTAATTACAAAAAACAACAACAAAACAATAACAAAATTTTTTTGTAAATTATTTTTCTTCTCTTTTAAATCTTCAAATATATATGTGCAAAGTTACAAACCTTAACAAGCATTGGTATTGATTTACCAGCCCATTGAAAATCTTGAAATATTAAAATCGAGAATGGGTGGGGTTCCCTTAAATGTAATCAATTACCGTGTGAGTTTAACATACAGATGTGATCTGGGGTTGGTGGTTGTTGTTGTGCACTTGTGTTGGTGACTAAGAACCATACGATTCATTCATACATCATACATAATAATCAAATGTATTTCTTTTTCTTTTCAATATAAATTATACTATTTGTGGTTTCTTGTATATTTTTAGTTTCATGTGTATCATTCAAAATAAGTCATTCATATATGCAGTTCTTTACTAATGCCTTCACTCATACATACATAGATACATATTTTTGTGTACTGTTTGTATTATTGTATTTCTATTGGCATATATATATATTTCTACTCCTCCTCTCTTTATATATTTATATGGTATATACATTCTCAATTACATTATTTTATAATAGCCACTTGCAGTTAATAACATTTTACATCAATACAGGTTTAGGGGTTTCCTTTATTTTGGGGGGATGATTTCAATCATATATTTAACATTTACACAAATACATTAATAAATTGTTAAACAATAAAACAAAGCAAAGAACCCCTTTTTTGTTATGGACCGGTCAATAAATAGTTCCATCTTTTGAATTTTATTCAAAAAATATGAGAACAATTTGACTGTCAACCTTCAAGGGTCGTCCAAAAATCATTCAGCTAATTTTTCTTTGACAGGGATAGTGTTGAGGGCAGGGTAGCCTATGGACGGGTGTTAACGTCCATTTGTTTACTATTAAACATTTATTTGAAACGTTTCCCTTTGCAGTTTGCTATTGGAGCGTACTCGTGGAGATGTCTGTGATTTGTTGCTGGACTTCTCATCGGAAAATCGAGCAGGTGGATTTATGTGATCTTGATAGTTGGGTGGGAAGTTGGCAATGCTGAAATGAAATGGGAAATTAAAGAATTTTGTAAGTAGAAGTAAGTGCAACGCCTACAACATAAGGGGCGAGAACCAACAAACAAACAAGAAATAAACTGTTAACTACGGGCAGTCCGAACTTTTTAGAATCGGTCGGGCCATCTTATAAATTTATCCTCTGAGAAAACGAAGCACCACATTACAAGCAATTACGATGGAAAATTCGGCCAGGACCTTTAAATACTAAATATCTGCGATTTATTTTCAGATATCAATGTGTTTTTTTTTTAATCAGTATATTTTCTTCGATAGTTCGGGTAAAGTAAATTCGGTAAAGTATACATATTATTTATCAGAATAACGTTTTATGTCGATTTATACATGTCCGCCTCTTTAAATTGCAATATATCACGCAATACTTATGGTACATTTTTCATACTCCTGGGATGTTTTGAATTGAAAATAGCATATATAGGTCCACGTTAGTAGCCATATAAAGGTACTTCCAAATATTCGGCACACTTTTCTAACGTATTGACTATAATTTGGTATTTTGAGTTCTCATTAGGGGATGATAGATACCAAGCAACGGCTCTGATTGGCTTCAACATGGCGAAGTCCAGGCTTATCTTGGTCCCTCTTTCATCTCAATTGTAGACACTGACCTCCCCGCGGTGCCACCCGGGGAGTTATTCTCATCACCCGATGAAATAGTGAGCTAATATGTGCCGCGAGTTCACCCATAAGAACTATAACAAAATGGGTTGAGGCGTCGGGTTAGTTCCCCACTCTCGGAAAACCCAACCTACTATGAAAAAGCTAAGCAAAAGAAAACCAAACCACCCTAATGTTGACGACCCCCGCAAACGTATAAAGGACCACGATCTGCGAATCTGCACTTGGAATGTGCGCACGTTGTACAGAGCAGGCGCAGTGTTCGCTTTGGCGGATATACTCAAGAAGTACAAAGCCGATATTATTGCCTTACAGGAAATGCGATGGAAAGGAGTAAGTAAATCAGACGATTACGCCCAGTATTATAGCTTCCATGAAACGAGACATGAATTTGGCTGCGGATATATGGTTAACAGGAGAATAAAAGACCTAGATTCACTTCAGTAGATGAGCGAATTGCTATAATCCGTATAAAAGTGAAGTTCTTTTACATCAGTCTAATTTGTGCCTATACTCCGACCGAGGATAAAGATGAACAGACCAAGGACATATTTTACGAGTGCCTAGAAACAGCATATGACCGTTGCCCTGGCCATGAGATTTTAATGCAAAAATCGAAATGGAAAATATCAGCCTTCATAAAGAAACATCCGACAACGGCATGAGGTTCATAAAGAAACATCCGACAACGGCATGATTGACTTCGCGGCAGCAAAAAACATGGTAGTTAGCAGCACCAGATTCAAGCATCTCGATATACACAAGGCCACCTGGATCTCTCCTGATCAAGCAACGAGAAATCAAATTGATCATGTTGTGATAGACGAAAGGCATTCATCCAGTGTTTTAGACGTCCGATCGATCCGAGGAGCGAATATCGATTCGGACCATCACCTTGTGGCAGCCAAGGTACGCACCCGTCTTAATGAAGCAGCAAAGGTGCGATCTAACACAACACGGCAACTGGACGTCGAAAAGCTGCAAACATAACAGGTAGCCGAGGCCTACTCCGCTCAACTCAACCATTTACTTGAGGAAAGCACTTCTTATCCCGATAATAGTATAGAAGTACAATGGCAAAGAATTGCCCACTCCCTACAAACTGCAGCAAAAGCAAAACTTGGGTAACAAAAACCAACACCAAGAAACCCATGGTACGATCAGGAGTGTCGTAATGCTATGGGGAAAAAACGCAGCGTATAGGGCAACCCTGCAGACAGTAGCAACATGTAACGTGATGGAGAATTATCGGGAGAAAAGGAGAGAGGAGAAACGTGTTGTCAAAAAAAAGAAAGAACAAGAAAAATGTGAGCGTGAGCAAATCGAGATGTACACGAGTCAGAATGAAGTCCGGACATTTTACCAACGAGTAAAACACCAAACTGAAGGCTTTGGTGTAGGCACATCCTCCTTTAGAGATGAAGAAGGAAACCTGGTGACAGATACAGACTGTGTGTTGAGGATCTGGAAGGAGCATTTTGAAAAGCTTCTGGTATCAAATAGTGGCGGTGAAGAAGATACCCCAGAACTAAAAAGAGATGATGGTATAGAGTGTATACCACCTAGCCAAGATGAGGTCATAAAAACAATTAATCAGCTCAAGAACAACAAAGAAGCAGGATCCGATGGGTTACCAGCCGAACTATTCAAGACTGGTGGCCAGATGCTGGTCAGGAGCATGCACCAGCTGATAAGTACAATTTGGCTAGATGAATGCATGCCCTATGATTGGAACCTCAGCATCCTGTGTCACGTGCACAAAAAGAAGACAAGACGATATGTGCCAACTATAGAGGAATAAGTCTCCTTTCCATCGCATATAAAGTGCTATCCAGCGTACTTTGTGAAATATGACATTATTGGACCATACCAATGTGGCTTCAGACCTGGCAAATCCACCATTGATCAGATTTTCACTCTGCGCCAAATCCTGGAAAAGACCCACGAAAAACACATCGACACATTCCACCCATTTGTCGACTATAAAGCCGCATTCGACAGCCCTATCCGTTCAGAGGTGTTTAAAGCCATGTCCTGCAAAATTAATACGGCTATGCAGGATAACGTTAAGTGGCACAAGGTCAGCAGTTAAAGTAGGAAAGGACCTATCGGAGCCCTTCAATATCGAACGAGGATTCAGACAAAGTGACAGTTTGTCGTGTGATCTTTTCAATATCCTACTGGAAAAGGTCATACGAGACGCAAAGGTGAACTGAAATGGCACTCTGTACACCAAACAACACATCTTACTCGCTTGCGCCGATGACATCGATATAATGGGTCGAAAATTGCGAGCGGTAACAGCCACCTTTGAACAAATTGAAAAGGAGTCTGCCAAAGTGGGTCTGGCAGTAAACGGCGAGAAGACCAAGATGATGGTATCAACGCACAAGACGTCCAGTAGACTCGGACCAACTGTGGAACTTGAGAACTACAGCTTCGAGGTAGTTAAAGACTTTATATACCTTGGTACCGCCATAAATAAAACGAATGAGATCAGTTTTGAAATTCGGAGAAGGATTGTGATGGGCAGCAGATGCTACTATGGTCTAAGTAAGCAGTTTAGAAACAAGGCCACCTCCCGCCAGACCAAACTCACACTTTACAAGATGCTGATACTACCCGTGCTATTATATGGATCAGAAGCATGGGTACTTGCGCAAGCAGATGAGGCAGCTCTGGGGGTGTTTGAGAGAAAAATTCTCCGAAAGATCTACGGGCCGATCTGCGTCGACGGTGAATATCGGCGTCAAATGAACCACGAGCTTTACAATTTATACGCGGACATCGACATAGTCAGTCGTATTGAGCTGCAGCGACTACGGTGGCTAGGCCATGTTGTGCGGATGAATGAAAATGCCCCAGCTCAAAAGGCATATAAAAATGAGCCTACTGATGGTTCCCGTAGAAGGGGAAGGCCACGAATTAGATGGAAAGACCAAGTAGAAAACAACATCTTGAAACGTGGTCTTCCAAATTGGTTGACTTGCGCACAAGACCGACGCGCTTGGAAATCTTTTTTAAGCTCGGCTTATGGAACAACCGTTCTGTAACAAGCCAGCTAAGTAAGTAAGTAAGAGTTCTCATTAAGTAATGCATGTTCCTACCAAAAATTATCAATATGGATCCACTTTTGTGGATAGCCTCCATAAATAGGCTGTAATTTCGTATTTTAAATTCATATTAGGTATTAAATCTTCCTCCTACCAAAAATAATCAATATTGCACTATTTTAGGATAGACCCCCCATCCCCCTTATTTTTTTTATCAGAATTGCCTCTAAACCTCTATTTGGCTCTTACCTAAATGTCGTCTCATCATGATTACTGGAATAACCACTGGATGAACGAATATGCCGCTTACCCGTCGTTCCGGTTTTATTACCCTTACGTGTTGTATAGGGTGGTTTTAATTTTCGACTGAGACTGGTTGGCGTTGCATCCGACGAGGACGATGATTCATCTTGGGTTTCTAAACGAGGACAATCAAAACAGAAAAAAAACCCAAAACATGTTAGAAAATAGATATCGAATAAAAATGTTAAATGTTTAGCACTTACCTCGCGGCGGACGATATTTGGCCGAGTTCATAGCTCTCGCTGATACATCGTTATCCGATTCAGAGCCAAGGGTGTCATATTCTGTAATTGGTATGTGAAGTGTTAGGATTTTCCTAACTTCGGAATCTGTTGAGCCTGGATTATCCGATTCTAGAACAGTTTATAGTACGATTTGATGACGGATTTTGAAACGATTGATTTTGAGTTTTGAGATTATGGTTGAGGTACGAGATTATCGACAATGACAATGAAATGAATATGAATGAATATAGATATATACATATGTATACACATAGACATTTGTTTGTATGTACAAAATTGTTGAAATGAAATGCAAGGACAAAATAAATAAAAATGAATAAGAGTTTTGATACAACCTATAAATAAATACTAATACCAGTAAGGAAAGTAGTAAAGTCGGACTGGGCCGACTATATGATGCCCTTCGGCACTTTGGGTATATTTTACATATGTATCCTAACAGACGACGCGTTTTGTTATAAATCTATATCTGAACCAATTTCAGGGAAACTTGCCAGAGACTAATTTATATAACATCAGTACGTTGTGTCAATCGGCCTAGCTATGGATGTTTTCACAAAGCTTAGCAACATCATTCTAGACTTAATTCAGTACCCTATACCAAAAATTCGTGCAAATCGAATGATATATAGGGTCTTTGGTGCACCAATTACCTTAAATCGGATGAAAATACATATAGGAGCTATATAAATCTAAACCGATTTTCACGAAACTTGGCAAACATCATTCTAGACCTTATTCATTACGCTGTGCCAAATTTCGTGCAAGTCAAAAGATTTCCAAGGACTTTAGTGGAATATTTACCTAAAATCGGGCGAAGCTATATATGAGAGCTATATCTAAATCTGAACCGATTTTCACGAAACTTTTCACACATCATTCTATACTTAATTTAGTTCGCTGTGCCAAATTTCGATTATTTTTGCCTGTTACAAAAATATGCACAAAGACATAATACCTTGTCCCACAGTGTGGTGAACGGTATAATAAAAATGTGAATACACTGGACTATAGCAAAATATTCTAACCATTGAAAATCTGAAATATGTACCTTCAGACAATATACCAAAATTCTGGCTCGTATACTATGGGTCTGTCACGAAAATCGGGAAACAAGTTTCTACAAGGACCCAGATGCTAAATTAGACTATATCAACGCATGAATTTTCTACAAAGATGATTCTCATCCTCCAAGAAACATGGAACAATTTTCTGCTCATGTACGTGTAAACGTTTGAAATTGTTACATGGGAGTTCTATCTATCTAACTATCTAGCCATTCTAGAATAAGGTCAGTACGCTACTCTAATTTTCGTGCATCTTTACATAAAATCGAAAGATATATAGTTATGAAATATGTTGAAAGCTGAGCGGATTTTAACACAACTTAGAACACGTTCTTCTAGATTCAATTCGGCATGTAGGTCCTTTGGTCTACCATTTACATGATATCGGACGAAAATATATTTGATAGCTATATCTACATCTGAAACAATTTAAATAAAACTTAACCCCTGTATTTCTAAATTCAATACGTAATTTAGCAAATCCGATTTCTTGGAGCATAAAAAGAAAAATGTTCAATAGGGTCAAATGCTTTGGCATATCCTCTATAGTAAGGTCTGGTATAAGTATTTCCTGGCAGTTATGACACTTGTTTGTCCCATTTGAAAAACGAAATTTTCGCCTTATAAATTAATTAAAAAATGGATGAATTGTTGAATGACTATGAATTGTTATGGTTAAGCCAATTGGGTTGTTTGTGATATAGGCACAACATAGGGGGATATTAAAGAGATTTTTATCTTCTCCGGGATGCATGCAGGTTTGGAATTTTATTTTTTTTTTTTGGGATATTCTTCAAAATTGTACTAATCTCGTGGAAATCTACCTAAAGCGACTAAATAAAAATAGAGCTTACCTTGGCTCTCGGAATGTGGATCTCGAAGGCGGCCAACCTTTCGCCGTACCTTAGTGTATTCAGGTTCTTTGGTCTGATCATAAAATGAAAAAAATCCAATTTCAATTTGATTAAACCTTTCACTGTATATACAACTTACATGATAACTATCGGGTTTAACATCGTGATATACAAATGAACCCCTCACCGAATGATAGGGACCACTGTACACATTGCCGCTGTACGAACTCTCACTGTACGGTTGTTTATTCAATTGGAATGTGGCATATGGGCAGATATCTTCAATGTACTCGTTGCCTTCGGCTTTGCCAAAACTACCGGAATCATTGGAGTTGGAGGTGCGTGGTGGACCCACATTGGGATTACAGCGTACGGCTAAATATTGTTGATCACGATTTTGTTTATTTTGCAATTGTGTGAGGGAGGGTGTTTCCGACATTGACGATGAGGCCAGTCGAGTTTGATTGCTAATTTCTGAAAATGGGAGAATTTTATATTGAAAATTCTATTCGATGGTATGTATATATCCCTAATTTGCAGCAAGGCAGGCATAAATCAATAATCGTGATTTTAAAGTAATTGATGCAGATTTCTTCGGTATATCAGACTTCATGTTGAGAAAAAATCTGCATGCATTGAGAAGTTGTAGAAGTTCCTCTTTTCTTTTTAAATGAAATGAAAACATAGAAGACATTTTGTGCAAAATCGATTTTTTTTTTTGATTTAAGCCGGTCATGCAGCAAATGAGCGATGCAGACTTACTTCTTTTTCGTATTATTAAGACTGCTGCCACTAAACCAAGCAGCATAATAAGTGAAATGCAAATTGGTAGCAACACCTTAAAGTTGGCATAAAATGGGCTCTCTGTTATGGTGGGCATGGCATTTGAATCGGTATTGTAGACGACTGAAAATAAAAAAACAAATAGGAGGCCATTAGATATTTTGACAAAATGATTACTATGGAGTTTTGAACAAACATTTTTCAGCGAATTTTATAGATTAGTTTTAAAAACAAGAATACATTTTAAAGAATGTTTTGTCCAGGACTTTCAATGCTTTAAGCGTGGAATGTCAAAAAAAATATTTTGCAGGTCTTCCAAGCCATAAACAAGTAATTTTCCAAAATATTTTTTGCAGGACTCTCAGAGTCTAAATCGAATATTTTTCAGGATTTACTAAGTCATAAGCGTGACAGGAATTTTAAAGCCACAAGCATGGATTTTTAAATAATATTTACTCCAGGACTTTCAAAGCCACAAGTGTGTGTCTTTGCAAATATTTTTTCAGTACATTCCATAGCCAGAAACGTAATTTTTAAAAGAATATTTTAATAAATAATATTTTCTCCACAAGTAAGGTTTTTATACCCTACACAACTATGTTGTCCGGGTATTATAGCTTTGTGCAGCCCCAAGAGATTGTAACGCCGCGAAATATTGGTTCTAGACCCACCTTTAAGTATACCGATCGTCATATCTCGACTAGCCGAGTCGATCTAGAAATGTGTGTCTGTCCGTCTGTCCATTATAATTTTTAACACGATACAGGCCACAGTTATGGACCAATCTTCACGAAATTTTGCATGTAGGATGGATTCTGGCTAATGAAGACCCCTATTGTTTCTGCTAAAGATCGGATAATATTTAGGGGATGAAATGGACCAAATACTAAATTTTTGTCGGTTTTTCTGGTCGCTCCAGAGGCCGCAATTATGGCCCGAACATCGTGAAATTTTACAAGGAGAAGGGGATCGGGGCATATTTCGGTCAATATATAGCTGGTCAAATGGACCCCGACTTTTGTGTGAAAAATGACAAAATTTGTATTCTATGCCGTATATATTTACTCCTGAAGGACATAGAGCCATAAAGTTGATAGTATAACCAAGACGAGTGTTTGGCCTTTAAATTGATACCAAATATATTGTCGTATGTACTCGGATGTGGGAGTTACATTTAAATATTTACAGGTGTTTACGTACTCAGATATTATTTAGTAACCCATTATCACACTAAAGTGCGGAAATATAGCGCTGACCGCTTATAAATTTTTTGTATGAGGTTCCAGTTATGGTCAAGGACGACGCCTATAACTTCCGGTGATGATCAGATTATAATCATGGGAGTAAGTGGACCGAATACTTATTTTTTTGTTGTGTTTTTTCGAGTCGATGCCAAATATAGGCCGAACACACAACACAACCCACGGTGAAGGGAATCTGGACAATTAATTAAAAGGGCTGTACTGAATATTGGTAATATTCGGAAAATATGTCAGTGTAAGGAAGAGGTGCTATTGACCCCTAATCGGGCTAGATGGAGCAATTATCAAGAAATATTGCCCAGGCTCGGTATAAACATCCGCAGAAAGTTAGATTTCCGTGGTAGTTGTGTAGGGTATAATATGATCGGCCCCGTCCGACTATACTGCTCCGCTCACTGGTTTAAAAATATTTTCCCCAGGACTTTCAAAGCCACAGGTAAGGATTTTAAATTGTATTTTCTTCAGGACTTTCAATGATACAAGCTCGGGTTTTTACAAAATAATTCTCTAGAAATTTCAGAACCACAAGCGTGGATTTTTAAATAATATTTTCTCCAGGACTTTCAAAGCCCGAAGCGTGGATTTTTAAATAATATCTTCTCCAGGACTTTCAAAGCAATAAGCGAGGATTTTTAAAGAATATTTTCCCAAGGACTTTCAAAACAATAACCGAGGATTTTTAAAGAATATTTTCCCAAGGACTTTTAAAGCAATAAGCGTGGACTCCAGACTATTTTCTCCAAGACTAGTGGCTTTAAATGTGAAAAAATATAGTTTTATTAATAGTTTTATTAATATACGCATATGAATTTGAAATTCCTGGAGAAAATATTGTTTTAAAAATCCGGAACTATAACTTAGAAAGTACCGAAAAAAACATGCAAACATATACATTTTAAAGCCCTGAACATACTATGTCTTAAACAGCCATTCTCATGAAAGTCTTGAAAAATCTACAAGTTTTAAATAATATTTTTTCAACTACAAAGAATTTTCAAAAAAAAAATTATTTTTTTCTTATAAATAGCTAACTTACATCCATTTCCTTGCGCAGATAACGTTGTAAAATTGTATAAAGCTGTTGTGGATCCGGCATTATTGTGAGCTGTAACTTTAAGTTGATATTTGGTGCCGGGTTGTAAATCACTAACCGTATAAATGCGTTCCGTTGAGGGTATATGATTGGATACCACGGTCCAGGTGGTTCTAAATCGAAAAACAAGATAATGCATATATTTCCATGTACACACACACATCTCTCCCTCAACTTACCTTCCATAAATTCGAGATTCAATCATAAAATATAAAATACCACAACCACCATCGCCCCACGAATCTAGCCAACACGTAACACTTGTCGAATTATTCGTTATCATTTGGGAGTGTTTCGGTTGTACAGGAGGATTACCCTTTGTATGGGTATTGACTATGTCACACGGTAGTCCCGTTCCGATTTTATTAAATGCCGTTATGTACAATTGATAACGCGTGCCGCACCACAAGTTACTCAACAAATGCGAATAGGATTTGGCATCCACCTGCAACTCTTCCCAATCGCCATTGTCCCGCTTATAGTTGATGACATAACCCAATATAGGACTACCGCCGTTATTGTTATCGGACCACTCCAATAGTAAACTATCCGAGTAGGCGCTAATCACTGTCAAATTTGGTGCTTCCGGTGGTACTTTCACGACAACACTGTAAACTATTTCATCCTTACCCCAGGTGTTTTCCACACTGCAGGTATAGTTGCCGGCATCGGTGGACTGCACTTCACGTATGTAAAGTGTGCCATTTTTGGCAATAGTTTTTCGTGCATTTGTCTCTAGATTATGGCCATCGAGCCGCCATATGGTGACCGGGGCAGGAGAACCCACCTTACGACACGTCAACTCCAAATTCTCCTTCCAGGGGGTAACAACACGTTGGCTAAAGGAGACAATACGAGCAGGTACCTTATTGTTGGGTGGCACTGTGACCACATCTGTCTTTTCACCCTCGCCCACTTTGGTCGAGGCGGTTAGCCAAAACTGATAGGTGGCCGATTCCTGGGTGCGTTGAGTTTCGTGCATTTCAACATAGGGTCCCAAGATACGTTTATGGGTACCCTCCTCGCGGCCGCCCTCCAACATGGACATGTAAAAAGTGTAACCGATCTGAAAAAGGTATAATTTTTATAATATTTTAAATATAATAGGAAAACCCCAAACTTACAATATCGCCATTAGGAAACTGTGGTGGCAACCAGGATATAATAATTTTTGTACTTGATGCTGGTATGGCTTTAATGGATTGCGGCGCGGATGGGACTGCATGGGAAAGAAAACATAATGTTGAGTGTAATTTTTTTTTTTAGTTGGAATGGAAATATATTATTCTCACCGTCTTCGTGTGTTCGACAATAGAAGGGCTTGGTCTTAACACCATCACCAACTTTTGTATAGGCCAATACCCAAACAGAATAGTTGGTATATTTACTCAGTCCTTCTAGTGTGGCATATTGATTATTGGATTTCACAACCTCTGGATCTTTTTCTGTGATAAAAACAAACAGTAGGTGTTATATTAATATATGTCATTTTTAACTTAATATTTCGGTACGCGGTGCTAAATTTCGTTTCAATCGAACAAACGTTGATTATTATATGGGAGTTATATCTAAAATTGAAGCAAACCTAAGATTCTAGTCTCAGCAGCAAGGTTAGGCATACATGCATGAAATCGAACGAAAATATATATGCAAGCATACCAAATATCCTCCGATTTTCAGTAACTGCGTTCTGGATTCAACTAAATGAGTCGTGTAAAATTTCATTTCAATTATATACTAAATGAGATCTGACATTATTTTGGTCTGGGTCGAAATTCTATACCCACCAACATCAGCAGGAGTGTATTTAAAATTTTTATGACGTTTTCCCACCGCGAAATGTTCATCGAATACACCGTAAAGTACGAGGCCTACTATACGTATTTCTGATATGACTCTTTGACAGTATGTGTTACTTTTCCCCTTGTGAAACGCATTGACAGTTCTTCGGACACTTAGGTTGGAAACATGGTGGCGTACATATCGAAAAGTGAACGGGTCATTTGTAGCGGGGGTCTATTTGAAAACGCTATATTGAATTCTGTAAAGAAATTTTGTATACACCAGGAATCCGATATACCAACTACAATGGGCGGGATTTTTATATGATACCTATACCTAGACTTGGACAATAGTAAAATGCTGCTGAAACCTTCCAAATATTGGCAATCCTTATATGGGGGCTATGTCAAAATTTGTACCTACATATATTGATCCTTTTTATACCCTTCACCACACTGTGGTACAGGGTATTATGGCTTTGTGAGAGATAGAAACATGGTTCCTTTTTAGAATATGCATAGAATCACTTTTTAAGTCGATTTATGCATGTCCGTCCGTCTGTCTGTCCATGTTAAATTGTAAACAAATTACAGGTCCCGAATTGGATGAAATTTGGCATAGGTCACTTATTTGGCCCAAGGACGAATCCTATTGAAATTGGGAAAAATTGGTTCAGATTTAGATATAGCTCCCATATATATTTTCGTCCGATTTAAGGTAAGTGGTGCGCCAAAGTCCTAAATATCTTTCGATCTGCACGAAATTTCGCACAGCGTAATTAATTAGGTCTAGTATGATGTGTGTTAAGTTTCCTGAAAATCGGTTCAGATTTAGATATAGCTCCCATATACAGTGGCTCCATCGAATAATCGGACAAGTGGTTGTCAGACATAATAATGCTATACATTTCAAAAAAATTGTCTAAATGTTTAGTTTTTTTCGCTTTTATTTACACATTACTTACTTATATTTCTGAACAATACAAAAAACAACAACTTTTCTAGTGATAACAGTAAATTTCGTCAGGAAAACAAAATTAACTCAATTTATTGTGTTCAACGCAAAATCGGACAAAGCAAAGTATCAATGTTAAAAAATGAAAAAATCGAGAAATTAATATTTAGTTGCATATCCTTTGTTGTCCAGAACGGCCTGTAAACGCTTCGGTATTGATTTGAACAAATTCGGGCATGCCACCGGCTCTATGGAGTTCCACGATTCCAGTAAAGTCTCCTTAAGCTGTACTAAGGAGTTAAATTTTTTTCATACACTCTTCTAGCTATTTCTTCCCAAAGATGCTCAATTACGTTAAGGTCTGGGCTCTGTGCAGGTGTTTGTATAAGTTTTGGGCAGTTATGGATCAACCAAAGCTTTGCAACACCTGATGTGTGCTTGGGATCGTTGTCTTGATAAAAGGCAAAGTTGTTCGCGATACCCAATTTGTCTGCACTTTGCTTTACATTTTGTTTTAAAATGTTGAGGTAGACAAATTTGTCCATTTTACCATCAATAAAATGCAAATTGCCTACTCCCACACACGACATGCAGCCCCAAACCATAACAGAACCTCCTCCGTGCTTATCAGTGGTTTTTGTATTCTTATGATTAAATTCAGCATTTGGCTTACGCCACACATACATCTTTCCATCTGACCCGTGCAAATTAAATTTGCTTTCGTCAGTAAACAGAACCTTAATATAATCAAAACTATTAATAGAAATGTATTTTAAGATGATCTGTCATCAAATTACCTGCTTCCAAAAATCTTCTGGTTTTAGTAAATACTCCTTTTGTCCGATTATGCGATGGAGCCAATGTATATATATATATGTTAATGGTGCACCAAAGTCTCTATATATCCTTCGATTTGCACGAAATTCATCACAGCGTAATGAATAAGGTCTAGAATGATGTTGCTAAGCTTCTTAAAAAGGTCCATAGCTAAGCCGATTGACACAACGAACTGAGGTAATATAAATTATTCTCTGGTAAGTTTCCCTGAAAATCCGTTGTTGTTGTTTTTTACACAACGGACTGGCGTTAAATACCAAATTTCTTATCAAAATATTAAGCTAATTCGGTCGAAAAACATGCCCAATGGTACAAAATGCCGATGTTCGTGATACAGCATTATATGGGGGCTACATTAAAAAGTCGACCAATATTGTTCATATTTTGTAGGAAGATTATCTAACCAATAATAATAATCCAAAATATTAAATTACAGATGATTTGATTGTAAAACCAATTCAAATGTTACCAAATATTGGGGATACCGATATGAAGTCCATTAAGGAGTCTACCCCCATTGATCATTGTTTTTCTGGTTAATGAAAATTCTGTTGGAAGACGAACAAAATAATTTTTCGCCATGAAAATGCCAGGTCTCACACATCAAATAAAACCTGTTCCATTTTGAAAAGCCAAAATATGGGCTTGATGGACCACAGAGGATGGCCCACTGTTTTCAATATTGTTCCATAGTTTATATTCGAATCATCTTCTTATTGGTTTTAGTTCTAGATACAAACCACAAAACATGGACTTCATGGGTCACGTCGGATGACATCTTTAATACTGTAATTTTCAATATTGGTCCATAGTTTGAAATGGCCTACATATAAATATTGTATCTTCGAATTAGCTACATATTGGTTTCAGGTGTGGTTACATGAACAGACTTCAATTATTTTCCAATATTGTTATTTAATTTCCATATAAATTGTTCCATTGTCCATTTAAATAACTATAGGAAATTACTTTCTTTTCCAAATTTTTATAAAAAATATATTTAGATATTTCATTGTTTGTGGTTATGTTCAGCAGGAAGCAAAATGTGTTGTATAACTTTGCTATGCCGTTTGTACTTGTAAATACTAATTTCGCAATTAAATAAAATAAAACAATCAAATTAATTTTTTCGGAAGCCATAGACAGAATTTTTTCTAAGGTTGACACCATAACTTTTCTTTGTTGGTTTTCACAGGAAGTTTCATAATAACCCATTATTGTCCATTTAACTAAGAAGAATATACTAAATTCGGGCGACCGAAGTTTTTTTTTTTTTTTCATTAATAAATCTCCCATTCTCGAATATTTTATAAATAACTAGCATAGGCCCGCTACGTTGTTAGCGAAACTTTTTATAGTTAAATAAATAAACATTATTTTAGCTACGCAATATACTTTTGGATTAAGTACAAATTTGAAACATTTTTATTATAGGTTTTATATCTTAATATGTTTGTTTTAATCTCAGATCTTACTCCGTATTTCTTTCGTACAGAAACGTTAATGCTTCTATCCTACTAAATCGAGTACAAGTTCTGTAAGTTTACTATTTTCTCGATCGTCCCGATGGACTGATGTAAAAAGTTCTATAATACTGTGTTAACCTTTTTTGTTCCTTCCGGTAATTTAATACTAATGGTAAAATATCTAGTTCGTTTTAGTACTGATAGTAGTACCCTTATAGTACAAATTACCTTTACCTGCCTTTATAGTGAAGATTTCCATTAAAATTGCAGAAATTTAGTATTTCTGGTGCGTTACGTATTACAAAATACTCAATGGTATTGTCGGTATTTTTAGTATATTCTCATAATAATGATCCAGCCCATTATTCATTACATCAAAAGATCGATCCAATGTGGTTGGAAACATCATTGGAAATATCAGTATTGTTATTTTAGAAAATTTGGAACTTTAGCATTTAAAATTGACTACACTTTAGTACTTGTGATGTTCAGCGGCTTATTGCATAGTTTCACTTATTTGTATTTGAAGTCTCGCCTGTTTTTCACTACACTAGAAATTTTAACCAAAATTCACATAATCATTCGCTGTAGTATAGATTCATGTGGGATTCGAAACTATATTTCATATAACCGTATATATTTCCATTAAACATTTTATTTACCATAGTCAAAGAGTAATACTAAAATTCGGATATCTTTCTCTAACATTTTCTATTTAGTACTTTTTACTAAAAATTAAAAAAAAATACTTTTTTTAATTTGTTTAAACAAAATATACATACAAAATTTCAGGACTCTACCTCTACTCGTTCTATTTAGTACTTTTTACTAAAAATTAAAAAAAAATACTTTTTTTAACTTGTTTAAACAAAATATACATACAAAATTTCAGTACTCTACCTCTACTCGTTCTGTCGTATAAAATATTTAGTACTTTAAGTACAAATGTCAAACAATATTGCCAAAAGCATTGTTTTTATATCCACCCGTACCGCCGTATACAATGTGTTGTACTTTTTAGTACATTTTAGAAGTTATTAATGCAAAATTTTTATGTATAAATTGTTATTGTCATAGTTCCAGATAATTATTTAATAACAGGTTCCTATCTTCATCCATTCTACCGTATACAATATTTAGTACTTGTATTCGATTCGTATTCTATTTGTTTATAATATACAAAAAATGTTCCCATACTGTGCAATATTTTGAATTAATGATGCCATTTAGTACGAATTTTCAATAAACCAAGCCTGTTAATTATAGTTGGACATTTTTGTACTCTAAATTTACATTTATATTTTTTACCATTCACTATGGTACAATATTTAGTACAATTTTGTGCATATCGGTCTATTTGTAATAGTTAAGCTACATACTAAATTTCAGATCTCAATCTATGACTTTTCCATTATAAGTTAATATTTTGTACCATTTTAGTACAAATTTCAAAAATATATTAATATATAGCATAGTATTTGTAATAATTAAATCTATGTGCCGTGTTTCAGATTTCTATTCCTACCGGTTCCATTATACTACAGTATTTAGTACTAATTCCAAAAAGTTATGCTTAGAGTAAGCTACATACAAAATTACAGATTTCTATTTCTATCAGTTACATTGTATTTACATATGTAGTACTTTTTATCGCAACTTTAGTGCTAAATTCAAAAAAAAAAAAAAAAAAAAAATGGCATAGTATTCTATTTGTAATAGTTAAAGCTATATGTGAAATTTCAGAACTTTTTAATATATTCTAGTACTAATTTAAAAAAAAATATGTTTGCCCATCATTCTACTTGTAATAGCTTAAGTTACATACCAAATTTCAGATATCTATCCCTACCTGTTTCATCATCGTATAATATTTAGTACTAATTTGCAAAATTTGTTCACACATTCTGATTTGTTTATAAATGACAAAGCTGCATACCAAATTTTAGAGTTGTAGTTCCAACCGTTCTGGCGTAATACAGTTTTTAGTACTATTTAGTACCATATTTGTTCTAATTTCCAAAAAATATTTTTTGTACATCATTTTATTTTTAATGACTTAAGCTACATACCAAATTTCAGACATCTATCTCTACATTTTCCATCGTAGTATAATATTTAGTACATTTTAGTACCTTTAGTACTAATTTCCATAACTTGTTCACAAATTCTGATTTGCTAATCACTGACAAAGCTGCATACCAAATTTCAGAGTTCTACTTCCAACCGTTCCGGAGTAATACAGTTTTAGTACTTTTTAGTACCTTTTAGTACTAATGTCCAAAAAATATTTTTGCACAGTATTCTCTTTGTAATGGCTTAAGCTCCATACCAAGTTTCAGTTATGAATCTTCACCAATTCCATTCAAATACAATATTTAGTACTTTTTAGTACATCTAAGTACTAAATTCCAAATTTTTTCACAAATTCTAGTCCGCTCGCCATAGACAAAGCTACGTGCCAAATTTCAAAGTTCTACATCTAACCGTTCCCGCGTAATACAGTTTTTAGTACTTTTTAGTACCTTTTAGTACGAATTTCCAAAAACCCCGCCTTATCACACGCCTACTCACCAAACCCCACCTACATGCCAAATTTCAAGCTTCTAGCTTTAGCCGTTTCGTCTGGGCGTTGATGATCAGTCAGTCACTTATAACGCAACTCTTTTATATATGGGCAATATTGCCAATTTTTTAATATTCCATTTTCAAAAAATCAGCTTTTTTGTTTTTGTGGCACATCAATGATTTTTGGTACACATATAGAGAAAAATGTTCTGACTCCGAAACCGTTCACGATCAAATTTTTGGTTGATGCGCGCAAAAGTTATCGAGGTTTTAATTTTGGGCATAAGAAAAAAATCTTAAAATTAAGCCGTTTATTATATTGACCAAAAACGTTGATATATATCTTCCTCCGTAAAATAAGAATATGAATATATTATAATAATCACGATAAAGTTGCACATATTCGCGAAATATGAGAAAAATAAAAAATATATAGCAGATTACATCAATATTTTCATTATATTAATGACATACACACACCTAAAAATTACTTTAAAAATATCTGCATAATCTAAACACCATGGTGAATCAACTGATATCAAAAACACACAAGTCCGTGTAGCGGTTTCTAAATCAAAGCGACAATAAAAGAAGATATTGAGGTAAAATATTTGTTTTTGGTTCAAAAAAATAATGTCATCATATTTATTTTTTTTAATTGTATACAAGAAATTTCAGAAAAAAAATTTTGGGGTTATTCTGTTTTTTCCCCGAATTTCGCCGAAAAATTGACATATATAATAATAATCACTTTTTGTGTATAAGTATACGCCTTGCGGATCATATCAAGACCCTTCCGATAAATCTTGGGGTTCTATAAATAGGAATAAATCTTAAAATAAAATAATATTATGAAATATACATTTTAAATTGCGTGTAAATCGCGTAATTCTCAAAATCATTTGATGCGCATGCGGTTTCCAGGAAGTACTGAAGTTTATCTTCCAATCCATATATATTTTGCGAAATTTCATTTGACGTCTAAGATGTGCCACACGTTACATTGAAGTACCCAAAAAAACGTAAAACGCGAATAATTTCCGAATGCTCCATATGCCATTAACGCGCATCCAATTTCGGTGTGCACCCTAAAAAAATACATCGATCTATACCGATTTCAATGTGGTCCATTAAGAACCATGGATGTGCCAGCACAATCTATTTTTGAGATAAATTGCGTCTAAATCGCGTAATTCTCAAAATCATTTGATGCGCATGCGGTTTCCAGAAAGTACTGAAGTTTATCTTCAAATCCATATATATTTTGCGAAATTTCATTTGACGGCTAAGATGTGCCGCACGTTACATTGAAGTACCCAAAAAATTGTAAAACACGAATAATTTCCGAAAACTCCATATGCCATTAACGCGCATCCGATTTCGGTGTGCACCCTAAAAAAATACATCGATCTATACCATTTCAATGTGGTCCATTAAGAACCATGGATGTGCCAGCACAATCTATTTTTGAGATAAATTGCGTGCATCTCTCTTTCGGCTGAAGTTTTTAAAGTTCTCTTTTCGAAAAAGATCAAAATCCGTATGAGGTCATTTATTGAAGCGGAAATGATACACAGAAAACGCAAATAAATCAGCGATATTTTCAAAAACATTTTTTGCCAAATTTCGTGTTTTTGGAAGGCCAGTTCCCGCCGTTCTAGTAGATGGATTTTCACGAAGAAGATTTTATATCATCCGAAACGTAAAAAACCTTATTGATCGCGGGTACCCATATCATTAAGTTGACAGATCTAAAAATTTGGCCCGAAAAATAGGTTTTTTAGAAATTTGATCGCACAAAATTCGCACCTTCGGATGAGTATTACTCTGAAGCTGTGCATACTACATACACAAAATACATATCAAATTACGCAGATTGGCGACTACAATAATCTTATAATCGATTTTTATAAATTCCTGTTTGCGTATTAAAGCTAGAAGTAAAATTAAAAAAACACTCAAAATCGAGCTTCAAAATGTCAGCATCATTTAAAGGTAGATGCAGTTAAAATTTTGTAAAATGATACATAAGGGGCGTAGTCCCCATTTTGTTGGCTTCTAGTTTTATTTTGACACGAAGACCGTGCAATGAGTGGCTTAGTCACACATCGATAGAGAACATAAAAAAACTGGTTCGCCTCAACCTGTTTTTACACATTTTTTTACATTAAAGTAGACACAGCTTCCACCAAAATAAAGTTTGGAGGTCAATATCATGAACAGTTTGCAACGACAGATCAATTAACCTAAAACTATTCACTTTTGTTCATATACTTAAGTAGTTCCCGAGTTATAAAGGGGTGAACCTTCGCTTCAGCTATGTTAAAAAATTGGCAATATTGCCCATATATAGATTTAATAATAAAATATTTTCCATTTGAATGTTTGTGGTTTTGTTCAGCAGAAGGAAAATGAAAATGGACTGAAATTGAATAATTTTCTCTGAATGGCATAATGTCTAAATTGCCTTGAAATAAATGGAATTTAAAAATATCGTTTTTTCAATTTATGCAATTGGGTTGGTTGTGTTTGAAAATAAATTCTTGACATTTCCTACTTGAAATATAATTGAAGCAATAAAACCATTGCAATGTCCACTTACCATATAAGTCTTCGGATGATATGTAAAATATTTTATATCCTTTTATTTTGCCATTCTGGCCATCAATGTCTGGCGGTGACCATGTTACATAAATCGATGTCGAACTCAAGACATCGCATTGGGGACTCTCCGGTGGTGAGCTGGGAACTGCAAACAAATCAAGTTTGAATGTTGAATTAACAAAAATGTTATGCACATCACAGCTGGATGAAATAAAGGATGGCTGTCTGTGTTGGTACCAACACACAAACACACACACACACACACCCTTTGACCGGCTACATTGAAATGAGTTAATTTCCTGCTGCAAAACAACATCATCGTCATCATCAGCTCGTACTTACCATCCTCCAGTGTCTGCACTGTTACTTCCTTGGTGGGTGGACCACTGCCCTGGCTGGTGTACGCTTGTACGATTATATGATATTCCGTATATTTATTGAGATTACTTAAAACTGTCTCACCGCCATAGTGGGATCGCACCTCAACCGTTTTGAAACTAAAACCCATTGTGGGATTGATTTCCAACGCCTCGGGCATCAACGACATTTGATATCCCACATAGTAGCCCAACAAAATGCCATTCCAGTGGTCTCGTTCCGGTGCATCCCAGGCGACACTAATCTCGGTTGAACTTTTTGCCTCGGCCCTTAGATTGAGTGGTGGTGCTGAGGGCACCTCCTCCAGTGTTGTTACCTGAACTACCTCGGAGAACTCGGAGGAGCCCAATTTATTTTCTGCTGACATACGTATGTGATAGGCTTTGGCCGGTTTCAAATTGGCAATGTTGACAACCGTCTGTGAGCCAGTTATGGTGATATGTTCGGCATTTTGCCAAATATCTGAAAATTGTGTGGATAAGATAAGAAAAATGGGGTGAGGGGGAGAAAATATTAAGACTTTTGCAAATGAAATAATAATAATGGCATACATATATATGCACGTTCGAAATAGATAACCGCAACTGTATTGTACTTGTATTATTGTATGCTCAATGATATAATCGATTGAAAAATAATAATTAAATGGTGAAGAAATGTATTAAAATAACTAATATGAAATATGTATGTAATTATATCCTTCACCACACTGTGGGACAGGGTATTATGTCTTTGTGCATATGTTTGTAACAGGCAAAGGAAACGTGATAGACACATAGTTCCTTTTGAGAATATGCATAGAATCACTTTCTGAGTCGATTTACGCATGTCCGTCTTTCCGTCCGTGCGCCTATGTATTTTTGTGAACAAAGTACAGGTCGCATTTATGATCCGATTTGGACGAAATTTGGCACAGGTCACTTATTTGGCCCAAAGACGAACCCTATTGAAATTGGGAAAAATCGGTTCAGATTTAGATATAGCGCATATATTTTCGTCCGATTTAATGGAAATGATCCATCAAAGTCCCGATATATCTTTCGGTTTGCACGAAATTTGGCACAGCGTAATGAATTAGGTATAGAATGATATGTGTTAAGTTTCCTGAAAATCGGTTCAGATTTAAATATAGTTCCCGTATATATTTTCGTCCGATTTAATGTAAATGGTCCATCAAAGTCCCTATATATCTTTCGATTTGCTCGAAATTTGGCACAGCGTAATGAATTGGGTCTAGAATGATGTGTGTTAAGTTTTCCGAAAATCGGTCCTGATTTAGATATAGCTCCCATACATATTTGAGTCCGATTTAATGTAAATGGTGCACCAAAGTCCCTATATATCTTTCGATTTGCTCGAAATTTGGCACAGCGTAATGAATTAGGCCTAGAATGATGTGTGTTAAGTTTCCTGAAAATCGGTTCAGTTTTAGATACAGCTCCCATATATATTATCGACCGATTTAATGTAACTGGTGCACCAAAGTCTCTTAAAATCTTTCGATCAGCACGAAATTTGGCACAGCGTAATGAGTTAGGTCTAGAATTATGTGTGTTAAGTTTTGTGAAAATCGGTTCAGATTTAGATATAGTTCCCATACATATTTTTGTCCGATTTAAGGTAAATGTTGTACAAAATTCCTTAATATCTTTCGGTTTGCACGAAATTTGGTACAGCGTAATGAATTGCAGAATGACATCTTTATAGATCCAATTTCATTTTGCTGGTCCTTTAATAATGCGACGTCTGTTAGGATTCATCTGTTTAATATATCCAAAGTGGTGAAGGGTATCATATAGTCGGCTCCGTCCGACTTTACAACTTTCCTTACTGGTTTTATTTTACATATGTTATTATTAATAATGATAATGAAAGCAACATATCATATACATATGTATATACGTACTTATATCAATTTGGAATAGAATGCTAATTCGTTTCATTTATTTGTGTATACATAACGTCAACTCATATAGAACTGAAGTAAATAGAACTAAGTGACTAATAATGTACAAAATATGTTGCGATTATTATTAGGAGAACGAACAGTTTTAAATGCCATATTTTTTATGATATACAAAAGTTTTTTTTTTTTTTTTTTTTTTTGAAATTTGTCTTAAAATAAGAATATGCTCTAAAGGGTACTAAATATTGTGCTACTGGTTTTGAGTAAACCTTACTGGTTTCATTTTACATATGTTATTATTAATAATGATAATGAAAGCAACATATCATATACATATGTATATACGTACTTATATCAATTTGGAATAGAATGCTAATTCGTTTCATTTATTTGTGTATACATAACGTCAACTCATATAGAACTGAAGTAAATAGAACTAAGTGACTAATAATGTACAAAATATGTTGCGATTATTATTAGGAGAACGAACAGTTTTAAATGCCATATTTTTTATGATATACAAAAGTTTTTTTTTTTTTTTTTTTGAAATTTGTCTTAAAATAAGAATATGCTCTAAAGGGTACTAAATATTGTGCTACTGGTTTTGAGTAAACCGGAATTTGATAAGACTCGGAATTAAATTTTTTAATCGTTTTGCAACACCTCAAAATATTCTCCTTAGATATCATAAGGTATGTATTTTCTCGGTCAGAATAAAATGTCAAGTCGCTTAAGTCATGTTCGATCGTTTTTCCACAATATACGGTATTTAGAGGCTTTTGGGCCCGCTTTTCGAAATTATTATTTGTAATTTGTTAAATTGGGTTTTTATTTAGCACATAGACATATTGTCTACGAAAAATGATTAATATTGGTTAATGTGTCGGGGTAGCCCCCAAAAGACTGTGCTTCCCAAATTAGAATTGTAAGATAGAATTATGGTTTCTCATTGGGTCATCGTTGTAACACCATTATTACTTTTTTTAAGGTTTCGAGCAGGCCATTCAATTGAATTAGTTCCGATGTTATTTTTCTGGTTAACAGGGGGTGACAATTTTTTGTACTAAATTTTATCAATATCGGTTTACATTTTGGTATTGCAATTATTGCGGAAAATTATCTATATAGGACCAAGCCCCTAAACGTCCCACCCCATTTTCGGTACTATTAAGTTTTTAGCCGAATTTTCCCATTGAAATTCCTACAATTATTAAATTCCGATCAATTGGTAGACAAATGTTGTACGCAATGATAAACCAAAATGAAATATGTATTTTTAATAGAATTTTGAACATTTGTGAGGGAGGTCTCAAAAGTGATGGACCGATTGGGCCCATCTTCAAACAATGTCAAGTTTTAGTAAAAATATTACTACGCGTAAAGTTTTGAAATGCAAAATCCAAAGTTTGGAAATGTATTAGAATGTGCGAAGTTAAATCAAATCAACTATGCACTTCCTGTTTAGAAGAGGTAAGCCGATAGACTAGAAGAAGTTAATCGAAAGGTCCCATTTTCGGAATATATTTTATTGAGATATTTGGTCAAAATATCTCGATCGGATACACCGCTTGTGTGATAGCATGTATTTGGATTTTTTAACAGGCAATGGAACATTTCTAAATCGATTTGAAATTTTCTGTTTCGGATTTGGTTTTCGGAGACATGGAGTTTATTGATTTTAAAACTCCTACGTATAATATAATCAAATTTCATGTGAATGGTGTACCGATGTATGGTCTGTAACAACGATTTCATGTGCTTAACATGTATATATTATACTAGCTGACCCCGGCAAACGTTGTCTTGCCTTAGCTATATTGTAGATGTATAATTTTCGGTATTTTAGATTTGGTTTAATACTCATAAGATCGTTTGTATCACCTTGGTATTTATCAGAGCTCACGTAAAGTGACATTACAGAACTTAATATGTACAATTTTATGTTTTGGTGGGTATAAGGGAATTAATTAAATTCGTGGAAAATAAATTTAAATTTAACAAATTTAAATGGACATTTAAGATTGACTTTCAATTTAGTTAAAATTTTCCCAATATTTTTATACGACATCAACATAACGATAGTCCAATGTTACTATTCCTAGGGTATTTCATATTCAAAATTTTCAATAGTGGTTTGATTATTGAGCAGAAAATGTCAATTCTTAAAATTATCAATATTGACCCCAGTATCCGAGTAGCCCCATAACGGTTTCCCTTACTATTCGGTATTTTGCTGTAATTTTATATCTAATGTAATATGTAATATTCGGGATATTGGAGATCAATGTTTTGATATAGCTCCTACATACAGGTCGCGCCCCATTTTCGGTATTATAAAGATTTTGGCCGAATTTTCTCATAGAGTTGGCTATAATTTGTCATAACGAATTACTGTGAATAAAAAACGTATTCCCAAATTAAAGCAAGCATATAGTTTAAATAATACGCCATACATATTTCCCATTTAATTTTCGGTATGTTGAAGTTCTTAAGGCGAGTTAAAACTCTAAAACCACACGATATACGTAACGTTAATACCGTATACGTAACGTTAGTACTGTTCACAAATCCTGTGGTATATTTGACGTATACGCTATGGAATTGGCATTTGAGATCGAATGGATTTCGTAAATCTAAACGCAGTTTAATCCCTGTTTTCCCACCTGAGTGTCTGTAATTTTAAAATTTTTTTTAGAATCTATATATTGGAAGTTAAAAAAGTTAGATTCTAACCATGTCCTCATTTAATATATCGGTGGTTGACATATTGCGGTATTTGAGGCAAGGACGTACGCAGGTGAGCGGCCCGCGAATTTTTTTCATTTTGTAGTACCGGGCCCCCGCAATGGAATCCTGTGTACGTTGCTGATTTGAGGTATAGGTAACATCAGGAAACTCTGTTATAATAAATGTTTTTGACGGAGGTTTTGGAATAGATGTCACATTGTTGGTTTTGATAGTTATTCCCTTTCCAGTTTAGCTCAATTGTATTAGTTTTCTCTGTGATACAAATTGTTGGTGCCGTATATATGCGAGGTGTTGTGTTTATAAGCTCAAAGATATTGATATTGGCATATAACCACCAAATGGTACCAATTGATTTAATATTTGCTGTGGATAGCAACATTTTAGGTACTTTGAGGAACAACATGTTCCTACCGAACTATTATTTTGAAACAAAATAATCTAGGGCATGTATCTTAGAATAAGAATTCCCTGAATGGAAACGAACGCGATTAAGAATCTTTTCTGGTTTTCCATCCTTGCATTTGTCCCATGGAAAACGTGTACATTCAATGATCGCGAGTAGATTCAATGGTATACTTCTAAATTGTTTTTTTGTATTATCACACAAACTGGTTTGAATACAATGTCAGTCCAATTAAAAAAATAAAATATTTTGAAAATGTTCAATTATTGTCAAAAAAACGGCTTAAAGGAATGATACGCTAACAATTCTAGCTCAACATATCTCAAAATAACATCTACGACGTGGTGCAATCAAAATAGCAAATATGCTTTATAATACATTTTTGCAAATTTTTCGCGGTTTTCGATTTTTTCTCACCTTTTAAACCTTCCCTGGAGCCCCTCGAACACTTCAAGACTAAGATAAGAAAAATCCGTTCAGCCGTTCTCGAGTTTTAGCGAGACTAACGAACAGCAATTCATTTTTATATATGTATATATAATATATAGATATGTTTATATACATGATATACATATGTATATGCCTATATAAACACCTTATGTATATACCGAAGTGTATCTATCATCTTTCCTTACTGTTGTAATTTGTTCATGTTTTAATAAATCATATATATTTTTTTAATAACAATGTTATTTCGACAGTAAGATACATGTAACGAAAATGGCACAAAACCTTGGGAATAAAATTAATAAATATGAACTTTTGTATTGAAATATTTAATGGGGAAAATATTTCTTAAGTGCCTGACAGAATAATATTCGATATAAATGTCTGTATTAATTAATCGAGAGGGTATATGGCATCAGCAATTATGACGATTTGCATTATAGTCATTTGGTGCAAATTAAAATACAACTGACATCAGCGAATATGTAGTGGGAGGACACCCACACGCGCACATATACATATGTATTAATGCATGCATACAAATGTAAAGGTCTTAATGGTTACTTACCCGATATTTGTTTGTAGAAGATGTGATATTCTTCGATTGGACTGTTGCCAGCAAATGGTTGACTCCATGTCAGTTGGAGACTTCGTGACTGTTGTGAATTAATGCGCAAATTTTTAGGTTGCTCTGGAACTTCCTGTACAATTAATTGTATCGTCATTTCGTCCTGCAAGAGATTGGAATAAAAGAGAAAAGAAAATTGATGAAAAGAAAACATCAAATTTGTTTGGAGGGCTGACATTCGCTTCCAATAATAAATATTACCATCGTTATTATAGTCATTGTTGTTGGTATTTAAATGGAGTGGAAGAAATAAAAGAAAACAAAGTAGACGAAAATATTGTATCATGCCATGATGACTTAATGGAATGAATGGAACACCTGTAGAGATTTTCATTTCATATTGCATAAGGAATCGAAAGGACATCGAAGATGGCAGAGGATGAACCGTGTGTGTATAAGTGACATAATTAAGAATGACCTTAAATTTTGGAGTCATTAAAAATATTTCAATTCAAATTTATAAAGTGGTTTAATGGTCAACAGTAATCATAACTTATTACTTCCGAATTGATCGTAATTTTGGCATTTTGCATATTGGTCCATTTTAGGTCCCAAATGTCGTTATTTAGGGAAGTTTCGATACGTGTTTCATCCGAACTGATTGTAGTTTTGGGCATTTTGAATTCGCAATTGATGTGAAATCTTTCTACCAAAAATTCTCAATATTGGTCCACTTCTTAGGATGCCTTCATGCAACGATACCTACAAAAGTTCGGTGCTTAAGATTTCGGTATTTTTTAACCTAATTGGCTGCAGTTTGGTATATTGTTATTGGGTTATAAATCTTCCTATTCGAGGGAGTTTACAAACTCCTTTTACCCCAATTGGTTTGGTATTTTGAATTATCATTGTATAGCAAATATTCCTGCCAAGAATTATTAATATCGGTCCGCTTTTTAGTATATCTACATATAACAGAACCCCTCAGTTCCCAGTAGATGTCAAATCTTCCTTCTATAAATCTACCATTACATAGCCCGCCATATATAATAGTTCCCAATGATTTCAGACATTTTAAATGTCTATCTCATTCATGGTGGATGGTATAAAATGTTCGACTAGGTTGAAATTAACGTGGGTTTACTTTTTTTAATTAAATCTATCACTCATAAATATTCACTGGAGACCCCTTAAAGTTCATATATAAACTCTTAATCAGAGTACAATTCGATGTCGTTTTAGCCTTCTGTTGATTTTTTTATACCCTTCACCACACTGTGGTACAGGGTATTATGTCTTTGTGCATATGTTTGTAACAGGCAAAAATAATCGAGATAGACCCATGGTTCCTTTTGAGAATATGCATATAATCACTTTCTGAGTCGATTTACGCATGTCCGTCTGTCCGTCCGTCTGTCCATGTTAAATTGTAAACAAAATACAGGTCGCATTTATGATCCGAATTGGATGAAATTTGGCACAGGTCACTTAATTGGCCCAAGGACGAACCCTATTGAAATTGGAGAAAATCGGTCCACATTTAGGCATAGCTCCCATATAAGGGTACCCCCAAATTTTTGGTATTTTGAGGTTCTTGAGCGCGTTTTTTAACTGAATTTGCTGAAATTTGGTACTTTGAGTTCTTATTGGGTAGCAAATCTCCCTACAAAAAATTATAAATAAAGGTCCATTTTTTCGGATAGCCCCCATATAAGGGTACCCCCAATTTTCGGTATTTTGAGGTTCTTGAGCGCGTTTTTTAACTGAATTCGCTGAAATTTGGTACTTTGAGTTCTTATTGGGTAGCAAATCTCCCTACCAAAAATTATAAATAAAGGTCCATTTTTTCGGATAGCCCCCATAAAAGAGTACCCCCAACTTTCGGTATTTTGGGGGTTTTGATCGCATTTTTCGACCGAATTCGCTGAAATTTGGTACTTTGAGTTCTTATTGGGTAGCAAATCTCCCTACCAAAAATGATATATAAAGGTCAATTTTTTCGGAGAGCCCCCATATAAGGGTACCCTCAATTTTCGGTATTTTCGGGTTCTTGGGCTCGTTTTATAACTGAATTCTCTGAAATTTTGTACATTGCGTTCTTATTGGGTCCCAAATAACTCCACTAAAAATTATAAATATAGGTCCAGTTTTTTTGGTAGTCCCCATATAAAGCTACCCCCAGATTTTTGGTATTTTTGGGGTTCTGATCGTATTTTTCGACCGAATTGACTGTAATTTAGTACGTCGAGTTCTTATTAGGTAGCAAATCTCTCCACTATAAATTATAAATATTGGTCAATTTTTTCTGGTAGCCCCCATATAAGGGTACCCCCCAATTTTCGGTATTTTGAAGTTCTTGAACCAAATTCTTTTTATACCCTTCACCACACTGTGGTACAGGGTATTATGTCTTTGTACATATGTTTGTAACAGGCAAAAGGAAACGAGATAGATACATGGTTCCTTTTGAGAATATGCATAGAATCAAATTTTGTGTCGATTTAAGCACGAAATTTGCCACAGCGTAACACATTAGGTATAGAATGATGTGTGTTAAGTTTCCTGAAAATCGGTTCAGATTTATATATAGCTCTTATATATATTTTCGTCCGATTTAATGTAAATGGTGCACCAAAGTCCCTATATATCTTTCGATTTGCACGAAATTTGGCACAGCGTAATGAATTATCTCTAGAATGATGTGTGTTAAGTTTCCTGAAAATCGGTTCAGATGAAGATATAGATCTCATATATATTTTCGTGCGCAAAAAAGTCCATATATATCTCTCGATTTGCACTTAATTTGGCTCAGCGTAATGAATAAGGTCTAGAATGATGTGTGTTAAGTTTCCTGAAAATCGGTTCAGATTTAGATATAGTTCCCATATATATTTTCGTCCGATTTAAGGTAAATGGTGTACCAAAGTCCCTTAATATCTTTCAGTTTGCACGAAATTTGGCACAGCGAAATGAATTATGTGAGTTAAGTTTCCTAAAATCGGTTCAGATTTAGATATAGCTTCTATTTCTGACCAAATGAAAAATTTGGTATCGGTTGCGGAATGATATGTTAATGGATTCATTTTCATTTTACTGGTCCTTTAAAATTCGACGTTTGTTAGGATTCATCTGTTGAATATACCCAAAGTGGTGAAGGGTATTATATAGTCGGCCCCGTCCGACTTTACTACTTTCCTTACTGGTTTTTTTTTTTGAAATCTCGAAAGCGGAGGCATATTTGTTTTAAAATCGTTCAACGTTCTGATGTCCCCCCATATTCCGTATTTGAGAACGATTTTCAACCGAATTTGCTGTAGTTTAGTATTGGTTAATCGGGGTATCAAATCTTAGATAGGATATCTCCTAAATTTCAATATTTTGTGGAGTTTGGACTCGCAGTATTTCAACCGAAGTGGCTCCATTTTGATATTTGTGGTACACATTGGGTGACAAATGTTTATTACTAAAAAATATCAATATCGGTCCATGATAAAGTCTCCATATAATGGTATCAAAGAATTTTCATTATTTTCGAACGTATTTTCAACTACTCCATGAGAACATTTTAAATTCCATGTTTCAATTTTAGGCAATGTGAATGTGTAGTAAAATCGTAAACATAAGGAAGTATATTGAACACATGATTTCTAGATGCACCAAATAAAGTACCACTTTCAAAAACTTTTCAGAAATGAATTTTATCTAACCAGTTGCCATTGGATTTATGTATAGGTAAGCTTAATATGTGTAATTATCAGTCCCTTAAGATACATAGCTTTCAGCCTAGATTTTCAACTTGCTGTCATTTTCTTAATGTTCTGTTTTCCTCGAACCATAAAACCTACACAACACATTCACATATCTACATATATTGGTTTATTGTTGGCGTAAATACATCCATACATACACATTTTTTTTGCATAATCCCAAATATAAGTTATGACAGTTGACATAGCAACTACACAAAGCATTGGGGTAGTGGGGTTCTATGTAAATTATCCAAGACATCGTTATCCTCTGTAAGCTTATGGAACATAAATATATTTTGGAATATGTCGGAGAATGCAATGATGGGCATGCATGCGTCGTTTTGCTTTCTGTTATTTTATTTTTTCTGTTATCATTTGTTTTCTTCTAGTTGTACTTACCTCTCCAAAGGTATTCGTGGCATGACACACATAAATGCCGGTATCCTGACGATATGTATGGGTAATTCCTAATTCTGATACCATTCCGTCGTCAAGTATCTGATCACGTATCGTGTATCTGTAACGTGAACACATAACAAAAATTATATGTAGTAAGTAGAAAACATGTATAAAATGTACAAATGTGTATATGTAAATGTATGTGTGTGTAGACACGAAATTTGTTATTGCAGTTGTGTCAGCATTTATTCGTAAGTTGTTGAGAAAATCTTATAAAACTGTGTACTTCAGGAAAAAACAAGAAATAAATAAATAAAAGTAATAATATTAATAAAATAACAAATATGACAAAAATATAATTTTGCAATTTAAGTTCAACATTTTATCTAACGTGAAAAAGACAGACATTTTTATACATTCCAATATTACTTGTATAAAACCAGTAAGGAAAGTACTAAAGTCGGACTGGGACAACTATATGATACCCTTCACCGCTTTGGGTATATTCGACATATGTATCCTAACAGGCGACGCGTTTTTGCTATATATATATATATATATATATCTGAACCGATTTCAGGGAAAATTGCCAGAGACTAATATATATTACTTCAGTACGTTGTGTCAATCGGCCTAGCTATGGATCTTTTCACGAAGCTATGACAAATTTCATGCAAATCGAATGCTTTTCAGAGACTTTGGTGCACCAATTACATAACATCGGACAAAAATATATGGGAGCTATATCTAAATCTTAACCGATTTTAACGAAGCTTAGCACAAGTCATTCTAGGCTTAACTTAGTACGCTATGCCAAATTTCGTGCAAATCGAAAGATATATAGGGACTTTTGTACACAATCCTTAAATCTTAAATCGGACGAAGATATATATGGGAGCTATATCTAAATCTGAACTGATTTACACGAAATTTGGCAGACATCATTCTAGACCTTGTTCATTACGCTGTGCCAAATTTCGTGCAAATCCTAAGATATATAGGGACTTTGGTACACCATTTACCTTAAATCGGACGAAATTATATATGGGAGCTATATCTAAAGCTGAACCAATTTCCCCAATTTCAACAGGGTTCGTCCCTGGGCCAAACAAATGAGCTGTGCCAAATTTCAACCAATTCGGATCATAAATGCGATCTGTACTTTGTTTACAATTTAACATGGACAGACGGACGGACATGCATAAATCGACTCAATCGACTTTGCCTGTTACAAACATATGCACAAAGACATAATACCCTATACTACAGTGTGGTGAAGGGTATAGAAATAACTTCCACTTTGAAATCTGACCCATTCTTTGGGTCAATTTACCACTTTCGCTAATCTAAAAAAAGGGGATTTTCGTGAAACTTGTTATATCCTCCACTACATTGTAGAGTGTATTTGAAAATTTTCATTCCGTTTGCAACAACTCGGTACCCCTAAAATACGTAAATCGACTCTTTATATTGAAAAGTCTAAAAGTCAAAGTCGACTTTTGAACTTTGATGAAATCGAAAAGTTGACTTTTCAAGATCAGCTTTCGATTTTTTCCATAAATTACAAATGTTTGCGTAGCAATATGAAAAAATATAAATAAATGAAACAAATGGAAATTAGAATTTTGTTGTCAATATTGACAATGGGTTTTATTGAAAATATTCGAAATATCGTAAATAATATAACTTACAAACCAGTAAGGAAAGTAGTAAAGTCGAACGGGGCCGACTATATGATACCCTTCACCACTTTGGGTCAATTTTGTGTAAAATCGAATGAAAATATATATGTAGAAGTTATATCAAAATCTGAACCAATTTTAATGAGACTTAACAGAGAATAATTTTTATAACTACAGTTCGTTGTACAAAATTTTGTGGCAATCGGAAAAGCTTTGGGTATTTAGTGGACAATTTACATAAAATCGGAAGAAAAAATATATAGGAGCTATATCTAAATCTAAATCGAATTTCACGAAACATAACACACATTATTCTAGACCTAATTCATTACGCTATGCCAATTTTCTTGCAAATCGAATGATATATAGGGACTTGGGTACACCATTTACATTAAATCGGACGAAAATTTATATGGGAGCTATATCTAAATCTGGACCGATTTTCAGGAATCTTAACTCACATCATTCTAGACCTAATTCAGTACGTTGTGCCAAATTTCGTGCAAATCGAAAGATATATAGGGACTTTGGTACACCATTTACATTAAATCGGACGAAAATTTATATGGGAGCTATACGTAAATCTGGACCGATTTTCAGGAAACTTAACACACATTATTCTAGACCTAATTCATTACACTATGCCAATTTTCTTGCAAATCGAATGATATATAGGGACTTTGGTACACAATTTAAATTAAATCGGACGAAAATATATATGGGAGCTATATCTAAATCTGAACCGATTTTTTTCCAATTTCAATAGGGTTCGTCCTTGGGCCAAATAAGTGACCTATGCCAAATTTCATCCAATTCGGATAATAAATGCTACCTGCACTTTGTTTACAATTTAACATGGACAGACAGACGGACGGACGGACGGACATGCCTAAATCGACTTCAAAAGTTATTCTATCCATATTCTCAAAAGGAACCATGTGTCTATCTCGTTTCCTTTTGCCTGTTACCAACATATGCAAAAAGACATAATACCCTGTACCACAGTGTGGTGAAGGGTATAAAAAGGTTGCTAGTGGCTGGACGTATTTTTGGTTCTCGTTTGGTGGACAAAATCTTTCTTATAAAAATTATCAGCATTGGCATCGGTATCCCTCTATAGTCTCATTTGGAAATTTAATAATGCCAGTTTTGTAACTCATATATCAATTTCAAATAAAATGAAAAATAAATTCCATAAAATTTCCTATATGTTGTTTGGCATATTTTCATCAAAAAATTAAAAATTTATATTTTCTAAAGATGCCCATCGTTCTCCAGATGTAAAAATTGGGTGTTACAACTTGTATTTATAGGTTTTAGAGGCAGGGATTTTCAAAATATTAATAAACATAAATATTTTTCAATTTTTACCACTAAATACATGCTATCCGTACATTTCGGAGGAAGGGGTTTTCATTTAAATGACATCCGCTCACGATTGAATGTAATGTAAGAGTAAGTATCACTATTCTCTCGCACACATTCAACTGAGCCAATTGAAAAACCATTGACACACACACAAAGACAAGTGCGTGAGAACAGAATTTTTTATGCTCTGCCCGTGCCTGTTTTAAATAATGATCACACGAGGATTTAAATCACTGTTCACCAAACAGGCACCCGTGGGCGCTTTGGGAGAGTACCAATACAATCACAGTTCTGTGTTCGAACTCAACATTATTCTCGACATCGAACATGTCGTATGCTTTGCAATGCTTTAACATAGACGATCTGCACCGAGAGAGCGAAAATTACTATCCCAACGGATCTATGCGTGTGTCCAACACAATCATAGCAGTTTGCATATGTATTGTTGGCTAACCCTGATTTAAATCCAATTTATTGTGTCCAAATTAATTTTTCCAATAATGCAATATGTAGGTAGGGCACATTCGATCTTGTTTGTCTTTTATCCTTCCATTATTGTTTCATACTGTGAAATACAAATCTTCACAACATTGTTGATGTAAACGGATTTGAATTCAGTATTTTACCTTAATGCCAATCTCTACCTTAGTCTTGAGGGTATCATCATAAATTGAAGTGGAATTTTTCACAATACAGTAAACTCTCGATGCAAACATCCAAAACAGTGAAATCTCGATAATGTGAAATAATTAGTTATTCACATTTTCCAATTTGTTCAATCTTTTGATTCGAAAATTTTTTCGTTACTTTAATGTCAGTTTGAGTGTTCACATTATCGAGAGTTCACTGTAATTTTTATGTCAATCTAATCCACCAGCCGGATTGAAGTTTTCTTATGTGTTTTCATTTACTTATATAGCAGAAGTTTAATAAGCAGCGATCTACATATTTGCATGTTTGCGAAAATGTTAACGTATAGAACGAACCTAAGTGAACAAATTTGTAACGTATGTATATTACAATTGTACAATTGCGTTCAACTCCATCCTAGGGTATTTTAAAAGCTTTACATATAATATCTGTAATTATTGTAACTACCGATGTGTGTAGTTCTTAATGTCGTTGTTGTAATATTAGTAGTAGTAGTAGCATATCCTGTCGCTGCTCACTGTACAACGGATATGGTAAACGTAACTCAGGGAGTCACTGAGTCGGAAGTCTAACGTTGTGTCATTTATTTTAAGTACATCGTCGTGCATCATGTCTCGTTCTGACTTGCTTTTCATTGTTGACAATACAGCCAACAATGTAGATGTATGATGGCAACTACTCGGAGGACTTTAAGCCTTATTTGTCATGGCTTTTCCGCTAGCTCTACACGCGCTCTCTCCCCCTATCTGTTTCACTGCCTCAATTCTTTTGCCTATGTTAGTTTTGTATGACTACATCTAATATCATTGCATACAAAAAAAAAAAAAAAAATACAAAAGTCGTCTAACGAAAACGTAGCTAAAGAGGAATTATTTGTACGTGTGTGTACGGACGTGATTATATGTACACTTTTGACCTAGAAATCTACGGAAAATTTGTCTTAACATGACATTTAAATGGGATTTGCCGTACACCATTTTACATGATATACATTTTCCATGGTGACATTTTTATCAGCCCTTACAAAACCAGTAAGGAAAGTAGTGTACTGAACTTTTACATTTTGGAGATAAATCCCGAGCCTAAGCAGAATTCCCTAATATTTGTTTGAGTTTTGCTCCTCTGAATGGAATTGAAAGGCCGAAGCTGTCGAATAGTGGACCGTTGTAGAATGTTGTGGGAGATATGAAATGGAATCGGAAGTAAATGAAAAACAAGTAAATAAGTGTCAATCGATATTGCCTATGATATATAGTATGTAGTATACACTAATCCGGACAAAAAAATGGGGAGGCACCATACCTATTTACCTATGGTTTGGACATTAAATTATCTTATTAAAAATCTAGGTGTAGTAAAAATAATATAGGAATTGTTTCCCTTGTGCTGGATTTAATTAAACGAGCGATAATGCCTT